CTGTCTCAAAATACCAAAAAACAAACAAACAAAAAAAAAATCAAAATAATAATATACATATATAAATAAGTATAAGGGGCTAGAGAGGTGACTCAGTGGGTAAAGTAGATGTTATGAAAGCAAAGAAAGGATAAGGATCCCAGTTTGGAGCTCCAGCACCCACATAAATACTAGTGTCAGTGCCCTTAAAGATGGCTCCACTCCATTTTGGCTCAAGTTAAAAAACTGTCCTTAGTAGGTCATAAGAACTAAAGGTCAAAGGTGTGGCTACAGTAGGATGCTCTATCTTGGCCTTGGGTGTCTTCTCTAAATAACAATAGACCTGGTCTGAGGTATGGTTACTCCTGATCCTCAAGGCCAGGTAATGAGAAATTGAATCTAAGGCATGGTTACGGAATCCTTGGAGAAATGAGGAAGAAAAGTCTGTTTAGTATACATGATACCATGTTCCCCTTTTCGGTTAAGGTATATAAGAGTAGTTAAAAATAAACTCGAGGCGCATTCAGTATTAACAGAATCTGCCCTCTTGACTCTATCCTGTGCCTCTGCCTTTCTCAGTCCACACTCCCCTTCTCAGCTGGCTCCAACTGCAGCCCTCAAAAGACAGCTTCCTACATACTAGGTAGGAATAGTGATCTATCTGCAATCCCAGTCCTTGGGAGGTATAGACAGGGGTTCCTTGGAGCTAGCCAGCCTAAATATCAACCTCTGGCACCCACACACATACATGAGTACATGCATAAACACATACATTTAAAAAATGAAATGAAAGAAACAAAGAGAAAATTTATAATCTCCTTTAAGATGTCCAAATATTTTATACATCATAGGACTATGTTAAGTGATAGCAAAGCACTGATGAACACAATACATCTATTCGTAAGGCTTCAATAACACCTTGGTTCTGAAAACAGAAGCATATGTGCTTTGGCTACTCACACCTAATGAAGAGTCACAAGTGCATCCAGAACTTGGGACAAATACTTATGTTTATAAGACGGGAACACATTTATGGTGAGACAATGAAATCTTGTGTATCTCCTTTTAACTCATCTACTTTCAAAACACGTCTTCCTTTTTTTTTGGTCATTCTAAAGTAATATTTTTATTAGTAACTTGGTAAAAACATAAAAAGACAAGCTTGTTGAATAAGTTTAACTTTTTCCTGCCACTGAAATACTGACTACCCATCATGTGACTTTTAAATACACTTGAGAGCTGGAAAGATGGTTCAACTATTAAGAATACATATTGCTTTACCAGAGGACCTGAGCTGAATTCCCAGTAACCATACTGAGTGTCTCACCACTGCTTGTAATTCCAACTCTAGGTGATCCAACACATTTGGCCATTTTGGATATCTGCACTCATTCATACAAAGCATTCCCCACACCTATACACAACTAAAAACGAATCTTTAAATTATTTTTCCTTTTTATTTATTATGTATATGGGTGTTCTGCCTGCATGTATACACGCAGAGCCTGTAGAGAGCAGACGAGGGCATCAGAATTCCCTAGGTCTTAAGTTATAGAAGGTTGTGAACTACCATGTAAGCAGGACCCTGGGACTTCTGAAGAGAATCCAGTGCTCTTAACCACTGGGCCATACCTAGCTCCAAAAAAAAATAAATCCTTAAGCAGAGTCTGTTGGTGCAAGCTTTTAATCCTAGTACTAGGAAGCCAAAGGCAGGTAGATCTTTGTGCCTTCCAGGCCAGCCAGGCTACATAGTAAAAACTTTTCTTTAAAAACAAGAAAAACCAAAAACCTTTTTAAGAAAATTGGGAAACAAAAGTAAACAGGCAAATCCCACTCTCAAGGAGTACACAAATAACCACAGTTTAAAGATAGTCAATACAGAATAAAAACAATGTTTTAGTATTTAGTGATGGTGAGATAAAATATTTGAGAGGGTTAGATGGTTAAAAGTAATTGCAACTATAAAATGCTTTTTGTATAAAAAAGATCTACAGGTTTCAGCTGAGTGTACTCTATAAAAGCATTCAAAGCTAACTGTGTGAAACAGCTGTCAAAAAGCTAAGGGAGGAGCTGGGACTCCAGCTTATTTTGCATCTGTTAAGGACTGGAGTTCAATCCTTAGATCCTCCCAAATAAACAAACCCAAGGATCATTATCAAAACATCACAATATCTGTATCTATGTATATATATTATATGTGTGAATGTCCTCTATAGATGTGCCTATGCTTGCTAGTGTACTATCAATAATTCAGTTATCTGTAAACCATATTACACAAAAAGAAAGACTTAATAAAGGGAAGAAATTTGCCTTGAAAGTCGACTCTCAGGTGTATGGTAAGCAGTAGCACCAAGTAGCTGAGATGAAAACCAAGTATGAAGTATGAAAATAATAAAAAGGCAGATTTTTGAACCAAGATGGGTAATTCCAAATACCTTTTAGTTTCCAACATTGAATTTTACACCTCAAGGAATGGTAAATGGTAGACAATTATTTATTAAGAAAGTTCAAAAGAAGGGGCTGGAGAGATGGCTCAGAAGTTAAGAGCACTTGTTGCTCTTCCAAAGGACTTGGGTTTGATTCCCAGGGCCCACATGGTGACTCACAACCATTTGTGACTCCAGATTGGGCAGATCTAAGACCTTCTTCTGGCCTTTGAGGGCAACAAGCACACATGGTGAACAGACATCTCTGTAGGCAAAATACTCATATACATAAAATAAAAAATAAATCTAAAAAGGATGCTGGGGATTTGTTTGATTGTTTTTGAGATGGGGCTTCTCTGTATGTAGCCTAAAAAGGTTTTTAAAGAAAATTCAAAAACAATTCTTGCTCTAGGGCAGCAGTTCTCAATCTGTGGGTCACAAATTCTTTGGGGGGGGGGTCACATACCTGATTTCTAGCTTACCAGATATTTACAATACAATTTACAACAGCAAAATTAGAGTTACGAAGTAGAAATAAAAATTTATGGTCAAGGGTCAAAAAATAAGGTGAAGGGCAATAAAGTAGGACACAACATCAACCGTAGCTTGCCCCCCCCACACACAAAAGAAACACAATCAAACAAAAAATAATAAAATGCAGGAGACGACTGCCCAGAAGAGACACTGGGTCAAAACCAGCAATAGTCAAGTCAGCCTTCCAGACAGTGAGGGCTGGTCTAAAGAGAATAACAGCATCCTCCTGGTCTCACTGGCAGCAAACAGACATACCAATATTAAGGCTTCTGGGTGTTTTTTTTTTTTTTCTTTCTGCTTTTTTTTTGTAATTTTATAATGCAATTTTTGCAACCCCCCTTTCTCTAATGTTCTTTCTATAATGCTTCTTTACAGAGAATGTCCAAATCTGCAGACTACAGTGTTTTGTGTTTATAAAGAACAGGACTCTTTCTAACAGCACAGATTTATTTCTCATATAAAGAATTTTTCCCATGCAAAAATTTTGAACAGAGGGCCTTGCACCTATCATGTAAATGTTCTACCACCGACCTATATGCTAGCTCTGTTTTACATTTCCAGATGCTGTGATCTCAAACTACTGGGCTCAAGTGATTCTTCTACCTCAGCCCTTGAATATTGCTAGGATTTTAGTATAGATCTGTACCACTGTGCATGACGCCATGGCTTGATGTTTACCCTATGTCCACTGAAACTTCTGCAGGGTTGGATTAGGCGTGTTTTAACTAACCTATGTCTTAGATTTGTGAGATGCGTATAAATGTTTATTTTTCATAACTAGGAAAGACCCTGAAATTTTTTGAAACTTACAACATTATAAGCCAGGGGTTATGGTTCCCACCTTGTAATCCTAGTATTTGGGAGGCTAAGGAAGAAGGAGTACCATGAGTTCAAGTACAGACTGGGCTACATAGTAAGTTTCAAGCCAGTTGACAAAGTAAAATCCTGTCTCAACCAAATCAAACTAGACCAAATCAATATTATCAAACTAGGAAGAACATCAAAAGCAAAAACTGAGAAGCAGGTGTGGTGGTGCATACCTATAATCTCAGCATTTAGGGGATGAAAACTGGAGCAGCAGGAATCTTGGCTAGCATGGGCTATGAAACCCTGTCTCAAAATGAACAACCCAATCAACGTGGCCTAAGCGTTCTTTGAGACTATAGTGAATTTCAAAGGATAATCCATTTTTAGAAATGTATGCATCAAATTCTATGAATTTTAAAATCATACAATTGTAGTGGTCATACATGTGGTAATGTTATTACAAAATAATACAGAAATGTCCTTGTGAATTTACAATGTTTCTCAGTGTATACACTAGCTATATGTGGAAATAAGCATGCATAGTTATTTATTTATAAACAAACAAACAAACAACAAAATCCCATTAACTTTATTCTGAGGCTAGAGAAACAAGCTTCAAGTTATACACATACCCTGAGAACTTAGTTTCTAGTTACAATAAAAATCACTTTAGTATTACTATTTTTATATGTGTAGGTGTTTTGCCTGTATATATGTCTGTGCACCATATGTGTGCCTGAAGCCTGAGGAAGCCAGAAGAGGATGTGGGATCCCCCTGGAATAGGAGTTACAGATGGTTGGAAGCCACAATGTGGAAATCAAAACCGGGTAAGTCCATGGAAGAGTAGCCAGTGTAACTGCTGAGCCAACTCTCTAGCCTATAAGTGGCTCTTGGAAATAAACAAAACAATGAGTAAAACCCAGTGTTTTATTTTAAAATTTATTTCAATCAAAGCTCTAAAGCAGAGCATACAAATGACCAATCCTTTTTTCCTCTGGTATATAAAGTCAGGAAAGGGACAGAATTTCAAATCTTCATAGCATGTGTGTTCTAAGCAGGTGAAAACATCACTAGCAATCCCCACTTAACCGCACCTCCAGGAACTAGAGAGCAAGCAGCTTTTGGTGGGCCACACTGACTACCTATCCAATAAACAGGGAAAGAAAAGGTCTAGCAAAGAACACAAACCAGACAATCTTTTTCAGGGTATCCAACTGTATGATAAATAAAGGGAGAAAAATAAAGGGACTTACCTGCACTGCCAAGCTGTTTATAAAACCTGTACTCTAAATGAAGTTGTGGAGCACGAGATTTTATTGGTTCCTGAAACCCAAGGGGGGAAAAAACTGTGGTCAAATTTTGATAAATGGGCTTTTTTTTTTTCCCCCAATCTTAGATTTTCAGAATGAACAGGAATAAGATCCTTTCACAAGTTTGAATCCAGCCTGAGCTATATAATGAGTTACAAAACACCTTATATTATAGAATGACACCCTGACTAAAAACAAGGAGACAAACCAAATAGAAACAATAACAGCAATAATGAAGGGAGTTTTAAATATTTATAGATAAAGCAGGCAAATAACCACACACTGCTCTATGTCACACCTAAGAATTGACTGGTTAACTATTCTGAACAGATGTGTAGTACTGGCAAATGGCTAATAAGGCAACAGAAGGCTATCATAAAGGATGTCAATTTGGTGTATAAATGATAGGTAAAAACCACAAAGTTGTTCTGACCTCTTTTTTAAAAAAATCATTATCAGCCAAGTGTGATATCACTGTCTTAAGAAGCAAACAGACCTATGGGTTAAACAGTTTGCCTACACAGCAAACTCTAGGCTCACTAGAGTTAAATGGTGAGACTGTCTCACAAAACCACCAAACAACAAACAAACAAACAAAAAACCCCAGACAAAACCCAACTAAGCAAACAAAACTCATCAACAAGGTAGGTGTATCTATAGTTTCTACAACCTTAGTATTTAAGAGGGTCTTGGTTTGAGGATAAGGTGGACTATATGGAGGGCAGCCTGGGCTATAGAATAAGGCCCTTACTAAAAAACAAAACTAAAACAACCACAACTTGTTGAACTTGTACACTTAACTAGGATGTCTACTATCAAAGCAGAAAGGTAGTTTTAGTACTAGGGAGAAATGAGACCCCCTTCTGTGTTGCTAGCCTTATTTAAAACAGTGCACCTGGCAACACATCCAACACTTTCCCAGCATTTGGGAAGTCAGGAAGATCAGGAATTCAAGGTTATCCCTTGAATAAATAAATAAGTAAGTAAGTAAGTAAGTAAAATGGTTCAACTGAAAATCAATTCTACTTCTAGGTATAGATTATAATTGTGCTACAATTAGTTTTATGTGGTGCGGAGAATCAAAGTCAGGACTTCGTGCATGCTAGACAAGCATTCTCCCAACTGAGTTACATCCCAGCTCCTCCAACATTTATCATAATTTCATAATAGCAACATTTAAAAACTTCTACTTCAGGCCAGGCAGTTGTGGCACATGCCTTTAATCCCAGCACTCAGGAGGCATTGGAAGGAGGATCTCTGTGAGTTCAAGGCCAGCCTGGTCTACAGACTGAGTTCCAGGTCAGGCTCCAAAGCTACAGAGACATCCTGCTTGAAAATCCAAAACCAAAACAAACAAAAAATAAAGCACCCCCCAAAAAAAAACTTCTATTTAAAAATACACAATAAATTATTGCTATCTAAATAAAAAGTCTACATTTTTCTTAGAATCTATAAATCTCAGAACTCAGAAGCTTCTTTCAAATTACCTAATTCATTCATTTATCCTTGGTTTTTAGGAAAGTTTAAGCTAAATAAATTCAGACTATTTTATACCCTCAAGGAACTCCCAACATTTAACAATCACTAAAGTTGAACTTTCTGTTTCCTAAGATTATCATAGGTAATAAAAAGAAATGCACATAATACCTAATAGTCACCTGAGTGCTCTCTTCAGATATAAGGACCACTCTTCATTTGGTTATTGGTCATCCAATTTATCACCAACAAAGTAGCCAGTTACACAATGTCTAATAGCAAAACCACCAGCAATAATTTCTTGAGAAAGAGGGGGGACAAAATGAGATGGAACTAGAGCAGGAAAACTACTGCCTGGCTCCAGAGAGAGCACCTCAGAGAACAGCAAAGCACAAGGGAAATGAATTTTAAAACCATAGGATCTTTAGTTGAATTTCATGCTAGAAACAGTAGCATAAAATATTCAATATGACCTTCAATATCTTAGTTAATAAAGAAAACAACAATCTTCATAGAATCTCAGTGTTGAGAGTGAGCTTATACCTCACATGTATTCACAAATGACACGTTTTGTTTGTTTGCTTGCTTGTTTTGTTAATTACAGTAATATACATCCTTCAGCTAGGCTCTTGAGCACATGGCTGAAGACTATTCAAGCAAATATGGCCTCAGGACCTGTTCTGGAAGCATTAAGAACAGAGAGCCTTCCAAACATGCAAATAGAAGGTTACAGAAAAGATGAGTAACTTGCTAAGTAGTTGAGAATGACCTTGAATTTCAGATCTTCCCCTACCTCCTAAGTACTGCAGCTGTGAAACAGACACCATATTGGTTTTTGCTGTTTTTCCAGAGGCATGATCTCTCATTCTATAAACTAGGCTAGCCTAGAAGTTTCAGTGATCCTTCTGCTTTACCTCCCGAGTGATGAGTGATGAAATGACAGATGGGAGACATCATGCCTGGTTACTTTGTATATGTGTTTAAGATTTATTTTATTTTTTATTTATCTGTATGTGTTTGTATCTCTCTGTGAATGTGTGTATGTATGTAGCATTGTCCCTGAAGGCCAGAAGAGGGAGCTGGATCCTCTGGAGCTAGAATTCCAGGCAGTTGTGAGTTACATGACATGAATCCAAGAACTGAACTCCAGTTCTCTGCAAGAACAAGTGGTCTTTACTGTTCAGTCACCTCTGTGGCCCCTACTTTCATATTTTAAGCAGTCATCTATTACTATTGTTGTTGTTGTTGTTATTATTATTATTATTTGTGTATAAAGGAGAGGTGCATTACCACTGTGTGTGTGTGTGTGTGTGTGTGTGTGTGTGTGTGTGTGTGTGTGTGTGTAGGTTGGTTCTTTCCTTCCACATTTAGGAGGTTCTGGGTTTTGAATTCATGTTGTCAGGATTCATGGCAAGAATGACCTACCACAATTGGCTCTACTTTTAAAAGTTCTTAAAAACTAAAGGAGTAAGAGCTATAATGAAGAGGCAAACAAAGTTGAATTGAGGTGTTGGCACATGCCTTTAATCCCAGCACTCGGGAGGCAGGGGCAGGCCGATCCCTGGATCCCTGAGTTTGAGGCCAGCCTGGTCTACACAGTGAGTTTCAGGACAACTGCAGCTACAGAGAAACCTTGTCTCAAACGACAACAACAAAGAAACAGCAGTACCAAGTTTCCTGCAATTCTGTAGCCACTATTGACTGTCTAATATCAGAGAGCTGGCCATTTGCCAGAATCATGGCTATTCTGGAACATACAGGTCTGCCTGAAATCCTAGATCAATGGCAGATGGCTGTCTTATACAATGGAAGGAGATCAATTACTACTGCTCTATGTCCCTTGAGTAAATTCAACAGCAAGGGATGAAACCCACAGATGGAGTTGCTATACTCTAGACAGGAATACTCATTCTTTCCTTCCTGCCTTCCTCCATCATGTCGGTCTTTCCTTCCTGCCTTTCCATCATGTCCGTCCGTCCTTCCTTCCTTCCTTCCTTCCTTCCTTCCTTCCTTCCTTCCTTCGAACCCAGTACCCCCAACCATGTTATATAGGCTCTCTCCCTCTGAGCTGTAACCCCAGCCCCTAATTCTACTTTTTATATTGTCCATAAAAGCAGAATGAAGCTTATTAAAAGGAAACAAATCTATATAGGTCAAAGTGGTATGAACTTGGTAGAAGATATCTTGACAGAAAACCTCAAAAGAAGCCTTGAAAAATAAAGGGACAATGTCACATATATAGTAGTAACACAAAAAATTTAAAGACACAAGGTTTTACATTGTTTTGGGTTTTTTGGATGTTTTCTTGTTTTTTTTGTTTTTTTGTTTTTTTGTTTTTTTTTTTTTGCAAATGTTTTATTTTTTTGCTTATTGAAACAGGGTCACACTGTACTTACTATATAGCCCAGGCAGGCCTCCACAGTGCTGGGATTACCAGGGGTCACTAATACACTTAGCTTTGTTTTTGAGGAGTACTTACTTCTTCCTGTTCAGTAGCCTCAGATAACTAAAAATTATTCTGTGTGAGGCAGAAGTCAAATGGCAAATGCACTTTCCCAGAACTAAATTTCTCAACAGAAAAACAAGTAGCTAGACCTTACCTGTCCATCTTAAAGGGTATTTGACCTGCATTACTACATATGTTCCTTTTCTGGCTCTAATTTCTCCATCAAGAACTTCCAGTCAAACAAAAAACAAAACAAACAAACAAAAACAAACTCAAAAAACAACATAAAACAACAACAAACACGAACTAGTGTACTTGCGCAACGATTCCAGCACTAAGGGCGCTGAAGTACAAGAGTTACCATAAGATTAGCTTGGCTATCACTGAGAAAGAGGTCAACCAGGGCTACAGAGCAATACTAGCACAACAACAACAACAACAAAACAACAACAAAAATCAGGAAAAAGGGGGCAAGTGTGTGCTGGTGACATCAGTTGGTGGTAGAGTGCTGTTCTAGCATACATGAAATCCTAGATTCAAGGTCTATTACAACAACAAAAATAATCCCAAACTTGAGCATGCAGTTCCCAGCACTTGAATGGAAGCAGGAGGATACCTCAGGTAAACATTAAATTTGAGTTTAAGGCCAGCTTGAGTTACAGGAAACACCTCAAAAAAGGAGAACAGAGCTGGGAGATTTTCAAAGAAATGCCTGTCCTAAGTACCAATACTTGACTGGCAACTGCTACTCTTTCACAAAAGAATCCTAACAACCCCACAAACTGACAAGCTAAAGAAGAGAAAAAGACTAAGCAGGGCCAAAGAGAATGCTTTTATGGGAGTTTTGTTTGTTTCTTGAGATTAAGAGTCTCAAGGCTTGGGCTCGCTCTAATAGCTGTGTGTCTTAGAACGATGGTGAGTTCCTGAGCTCTTGCCTCTGCCCCCAGTTCTTAGGATTACAGGCATGCACCATCATAATCAGTTTGACATCTTTTGTTGTTATTGTTCGAGACAGGTTCTCACTGTGAAGCCCTGGCTGTCCTGGAATTCACTATGAAGACCAGTCTGGCCTCAAACTCACAGAGCTCTACCTGCTTCTGTCTTAAACTCAAATTTCAAATTGAATATAAACCTAAAGATGACTCTGAATTCCTGATTCTCCTTTCAAGTAATGGAATTAAAATCATGTGTGGAAAAGCATGGGCAGCCATTTTTGGCTTTAAAGCAGTGGTTCTCAACCTGTAGGTTGTGATCCCCTTGGCAAATTTCTATCTCCAAAAATACCTACATTATGATTCATTAACAGTAGCCAAATTAGGAATAGAAATAATTTTATGGTTGGGGGAGTCACAATAACATAAAGAACTGTATTAAAGGATTACAGCATTAGGATGGTTGAGAACTGTTTTAAAGCATCCTGTTAAATACACCAATAGATGCCATACATTTAAAAAATAGATGTTGCTAGGTGGTGGTGTGTCATGCCTTTAATCCCATTACGCAGGAGGCTGAGGCAGGTATCTCTGTGAATTTGGTCTACAAGAGTGAGTTACAGGATGGTCACAGCTACACAGAGAAACCTGTCTTGAAAAACCAATAAACAAACAAGTAAATCAATTTAAAAAATAGATGTCAAGGAGTTCCAGAGAAATTCTCACTGGTTTAGAGCCCTTGTTGTTCAATTCCCAGTATCAACAAGTTAGTTGGCAACCATTCATTAACTCCAGTTTCTGGGGACTGGAACATCCTCTTCTGGCCTCCATGGTACCAGGCATACACACAGTGTACACACACACACACACACACACACACACACACACACACACAATCAATTAACTTTTGACTCATCTTTGCTACCACTACAATTAGTATCATTTATAGGACATTACACAGTGTACAGTTTTTTTTTTTTAATCATTATAACATCCTGATGGAAGAAAAATGACTACCTGGTATCATAAACACAGTAAATATAGCATTATTATGAATGCCTACAATGACTTCCTGTAAGAAGACATTAGCAATGAAAAGCACCAAAACACAAAGACCACAAACACATACATTCTACTTACCAGTTTAATGGCTACATATTCATTGGTGTAGAGATTTTTACCTAAGGGAAAAAGAGAATGTATATATTTAGTGACATTAGATTACAAGGTCATGAGAAAGGTGGATTTTCTAACTGGGCTCCTGTATATGAAGAGAGAGTTAAGTAAAAGCCAAACAGAGATAATAAGAACCAGTAGGACTAGGACAAAAACAGCTTGAGAATCTAAAAATGTAAGCTACACAAGAGACTCTGGTTTGTTTTACAAAGGAAGAAACTAACCAAATCCACCCCCTCTTCTCTCCCTTAAGCCCCACACATACATGCAACCTTACTTCTCAATTATTATGGTATGAAGTGAACTGAGAAAGAAATGCTATAATTTCAAAGACAGATATTTAAACTTGGAGAAGGTTGGAGGCAGAAGAATCATGAATTCAAAATCATCCTTGGTTACACACTGAGTTTAAGGATGGCCTGGGCTGCAAGAGCTCTTGTCTCAAATCACACCCTACCCTTAGAAAAGAATTTAAGCTCAGATCAGAAGTTAAGAGGTAGGATGAAATGAGAGATCTAATAATTAAGGTGAACCAAGGTGGTAGTGTTTTGCAGCAAAGGAATAAACATGGGTACCAATGTGAACGAAAAGATGACAAAAGAAGCAAGGAATTCTCAGGAGTTGAACTTCCCCTCTGACCTTTGACCATTTCAGGAAAAGGAACTGCAAAAACAAACAAACAAACAAACAAACAAACAAACAAAAGCAGGAGATGCTACAGAGTGGTACTGAGATTGGGGCTGTAAGTGTTTAATGAATATATAGGGATGGGGTGAAGACTGACAAGGAGTGGCTAAAGCAAAACCTGGGAAAGGCTGCAGCTGTATTAGGAAAACCTTAATACCATTCTAGGTTTCAAACAGAAGATTTGAAAGTAGAGTAATCACATCATCAGATCTCTGAATGATTATGTGTGAGGCAGCATAAAAAGTAACTAGAATGCATCTGAATGACTTAATACCTATCACATATAATCATCCTTTCAAGATAAGCCACACCCAGTTCTCAAACTTCAGAGAATATAACCTAGCTCCTCATATAGTTCTGTGTATTTTATTAAAATCTCAGCCAATAAATTATATCATATAATGATGTTAAGACAAAAATATGAATGAGTACACAGAAGAGTCTGGGTAACAGAGGAAAGCACATCTGAGTACAAACATTTCAAGTCAGAAAGTGACCTGAAGAATAAAGGTCACTTCCTATATTAGAAAAAAAAGTTCAGGTTGGGCATGGTGACACACCTTTAACCTCAGGTGTGAGGAGTCAGTGGGCAGGTGGATCTCTGTGTTTTGTCTACACTAGCAGTTTCAAGCCAAGCAGAGCTATAAAAGACCCTATCCTATCTCAAAAAAAAAAAAAACAAAAACAAAAAACAAAAAACTCCCCCCCCCAAAAAAACCACACCTTTGATTTCTTTGAACATTTGTGTTTTTTTTTAAAAGTCTGATTCGTATAAACTCATTTTAATGTAAATATTTTTCCTTAACTGTACAAGTTTAAATAAAAAAAATGTTCTAAGATTAATGTGTCTCATGTGTTCTACAGAGGCCCTGACCTATCACAATAGGCGATAGTGGGTATATGTACTGCAGAAAAAGGAATTCACATTCAAGACTACCCACAGGTTGTTTCCAATGAATTTTTCTGGCTTCTGACCATTTCTTCTCATGTATCATATTCTCTCATTGTTCAAGTCCAGTCAAAATATCAGCCTTTCCTCTTTTGTTTTTATTTGTATGTGTGTGTGTGTGTGTGTGTGTGTGTGTGTGTGTGTGTTGTCATAATGGGATAGAATTCAGGGTCTTCCACATAATAGGCATGCCCTGTGCTACTACTGAACTACAACCCCAGCCTGAAAAAATTTTTCTTTAGAAAAATTTTAAGGCGCATAGGGTCTCATTATGTAGCCCTGAGCAGCCTGGAAGAGGCTTTTTATACAAGGTTCAAGAAGCTCCATAACACTAATGAACATCTAGTTTCTAGAAAATTATAATGTCATGTCTTTTTTAAAAAGATTACATAGCCCTTGTCAGTGTGGCCTGGCTATTTAGACCAGGATGACTTTGAACTCAAGAAAGCCACATGTATTAGCACCCCCACCCCCAGTGCTAGGATTGAAGGCATGTACAACCAAGCCTCTAGCTATCTATTTACTGGTGGAGTCATACTTTGATGGCACTATTGACAGATAATAAAAACTAGCAAATGGGACCTAATCACCAGGACTTAGTTTTAAATGGTTGATTAACCTCTCTCTCTCTCTCTCTCTCTCTCTCTCTCTCTCTCTCTCTCTCTCTCCCCAACTTCCTTCCAGCTGCATTATACCATTTAGTCGTATGATCTGCCTCACCATCAGCCTATAGCAACAAACCCAAGGAATCATGAAGTAAAGCATCCAGAACCATTAACTAGATAAAACTCTTCTCCTGTATGCTCTTTGTGAAAAGTTTTTACTCCACTTGTTAGCTTGCTGAGAATCACCAGCAGTCTTATGCTAGGGAAAAAAGAAAAAAAAAAGCAGAACATTTAAAGAACCACACACTAGGCTCAGAGTGGCTATAAGGACTATGTGAGGATTACATGAGATGAAGCATGTGAAAGTACTTTGTAAACTGGGAAGTACTAAATAAATCTTATTTTCATTATTATTTTAAGTATGAGGTAGCAACCTCCTTTAAAAAAAAGGACTAAAACAAATAAATCTATAAGACAGATATTTTGAAGAGGAAAAAACCTAACTGCCTCCATATTACGTTTAATAGATCAGAAAACAAGGATCAAAAATTATGTTCTCATACCAAGTATGGTACCCATTCCTTTAATCTAGTGTTTGAAAGGTAGAGACAAGAGATCATAAATTTAAGGGCGACATGAGATCCTGTCTTGAAAAAGAGAGAAGGTGAGAGATTGAGCAAGGTGGGGGAGGAGAGGGAGGGAAGGAGAGAAGAGGGGGAAAGATGCTCTTAGTGAGAGGAGAACAGAAAAGCTAAGAATAATTAATGAATGTGCTTTCCTCCAAGTTCTCACTAAACTGAAAAGTGATAGATTAGGAAGTGCTTCTCAGCTTCATCTTTCTATATGAAAGAATATACTAAGTGCTGAAGCTATTTTCTGCAGACGTGACAAGACTATCTGCCATCATGAGGATGGATGACTGCTGTGACCTACACAATCCCTTAGTCCCCAGTCATCACAAGAAAAGCAAGCAACACAGTGACAGCTACATGTACGGCAACAGTAACAGAGCTGCTAACATTCCATTCACCACTCACTGCCCCCATTCCCTTCAGCTGTGTTTGGTCTTGGGAAATACACTGTGATAAACTATATAAAAGGCAGAAGGTTGACTAGGAATCAAGACTATAGTGTCACAGTTGGGGTGGGACCTTCTGGTGATGGAGCTAATTTCTAGTTATTGTACGTAAGGAACCCCAATAAATTCACCAGGCAGTCCTTAAAAGAGGTCTCTTGGGTCTCTTGATGCCCTATCTGGGGAGAACAGATGGTTCTTTACGACTTCCAAGAGAATGAAACAAGCACAAGCTTAACACCACACATGGTGGAGGATACATTACAGAACACCGAGGTTTGTGTTTACTTTTTCCAAGAACATTGAAAGAACTGAATTAATGTCATTCTCTTATCTAACAGCTAATGAATATTGGAGGTAATGTAGTAATTATTTTGGGCTAAGCACTGTTCAAATAAATTCCTTTGCTAGAGGGCAAAGGCATCTACAAAATGGAACAGGGGCTGGTGAGATGGTTCCCTGGGTAAAGGCACTTGCCACCAAACCTGATGATTTGAGTTAGATACTGGGAGCCCACGTGGTGGAAGGAGAAAATGACAACCTGTGGCCTCCACGTGTACAAGATGACACATACCTCACCTGCCCCACTCTATAGGCAAAAAAGGGTAGTAAAAAAAAAAAAAAAAACCTGTATAAGCCAACATGAAACTGTACATATACTGTACTCAGAAATTCTGCAATGGTAGAATTGAATGACAAAGACTGAATGTCAAAATCCTGTCCATTTAAAATGAATAACTACTTCAGTTAAAAATATACATAAAACTCTATCAATAACTATGAGAAAAGCAAACAGTTTAAGGGACTGAAAAATCTACCTATCAGCTGGCATGATCCCAAACACTCAAAGCTTTAGTATCCACTGCATAAAATCCACAGGTTTAATTTTTGCTTTAGGTTCTATCATTAGTGGCAGAAAAACTGCATTGCATAGAGATTTGGGAGCATTTTTATCTAAACTCAGCTCTTCAAAGTAGCAGCCTTGATATGATGCTGCCTACAAAACATCTGAAGGAAGACTTCCTGTTTCAGCAAGTTACCTACAAGCTACATTTACCAAAAGTTCTAATCAGACACAACATTTTTCATGACCCAGTAGGTCTCAGGTCATAAGAGTCACACAACTTAGCAAACATACAGCGTTGGGTTCCCAGTTTAATCATCTTTCCAGCTGCCAAGCTTTCTTGCCCTAAAGCGAAACCAGTACATATGTAAGTTACTACCTAATAAATCTTATTTTTTAAAACTCCAGGAAGAAGAAATTGAGGCAGAAGCTGAAGAGAGAGTTTAGCAGATAAAGAGAGCTCAGCAGCAAGGATGAGTGCCCATGCTGAATGGCTTACAACTAATTATCCATAACTCCAGTTTAGGATCACTTCCAGTCTCTCCAAGGACTCATGTGCACGAATACATGCACACACCCACACAGTTAAAATCTTTAAGGACATGGAAAGAAGGAAAGAAAAAGAAAGAGAGAGAGAAAGAGGGAGAGGGGGGCAATTAGCACCTGTAAACAATTCTACATACCTATCAACAGTTACCATGGCTACTTAAGAAAAAGAGGATAGTAGTTGGTCCAGTGCTCCCTCTATTCAGAGAGCATCTCTTTATGTGTACAGGAAAGAAGACAGTACTACAATGTTAAACATTTCCCAAATACTTAACAGTTAATGGCAGGAATAATTTATG